TAGATGGGGAAAAATAAACTAGCGGGTGCCCTTAAATAAAACCTGGAACACCTGCTTTATTTTAGAAGTCATCTAAGTCCAAGGGTTGAGGTCATTTGTCAAAGACTTGAGCCATTGTAAAAATCTTACAAACAACAGAAATAGAAATTTCTGTACTTCACAGAGCCAACTCTGATGGTGTGATACAAAGTAGAGTTATAGCAGATATTGGGAAAATTTGCCCAGAAAAGGATCATCTAAAACATTTTAGCAAAATCAAGTACAGTAGTTAATATTCAATGATATGGTTTGTACTGAAAATTATGACCTACTAGAAGATACTATATTACACATGAGGAATTTGCAATATTTATGTGGTTACTTCCAGAAAAATGGTTATCATTGTCTACTTTGCTCCTCCCTTTACTCATTCCAAACTCTAGTGATTCCCCTTCCCGAGAATCATTCAGACTCAGCATTGGCTCTCCATCCCCTTCTCTTCTCTCCCTGCTTACCACCATCATTGTCTTCGGCTACTCTAATTGGAGTAATTATCTCCTCTCATTGTTCCTGTTGGCCCTCTGTTAATCCTCCTACAAAATGCAAAGCAGCCCGAACTGTGCAAAAGTGTAACTCAGACACATCCCTCTTTCATTAAACACTACCACCTTTTGGTTAACATTCTTGTTTTCCAACATAACTAACCAAGCCTTTTAGGAATGGCTTCTTGTGGGTATCTCCTGCATTGTGCCCAAAGGTTCTCAAGTTTGTGCTAAATCAAATGAAAACTGTAGAGACTGTTTCAGCTCTTCAGGATTTAAGCACACTTAACCTCTACTAAGTATATATGCTTTTACTTCTGCCCATAATATTAATTTGCCTTATTTTGATTATTTCTTATTCACGTATGTCAAGTTCAGCTTAACTGAACATCTTTATGTGACGCTCTACCTGAATTTCAAAAAATTTGGTATGGGCTACATCACTCATATCTTTCCTTCTGCTATACTTTTCACTACTCTTTAATTATTCATGTGCGTGGCTCCATCTTCCTCCAGTCTAGACAATAGGTTCTGCGAAAACCAAGGATGTGAGAATGGTGTTCATTATTTATATCCCAAGTGACCAAACAGTTCTGAGACTCAACACAAACTTGTTGAATAAAATTTTAAAATTATAAATAAAAAAATCAATAAAAATGCGAGGAAGCCATGAGACCATCATCATTGCAACATAAGATAGTAAGAACGAAGGACACACTGTTCATTTTATTTCCAAGAAGACAATAAGATTTCATAGACCCCAACAGAACAGTAGTTTCAAAGTTTCTTCATTCTCACTCGCTTTAATCGTGATCCGTTTGGGATATATAATAGTTAATATGTAAGAGCATTATTAATCATTTAATAAACTCTTGGCTACATGCTACATGAAAGAGTAAAATATCTATCAACAACAATCATTTACTTTCTTTTGGATGTTGGAACATTTTTACCTTTAAACGTTCTATTTTATATAACCTAATAACAGTGAGACTTGGCACTTGACTGCAGTAACACCTAGCTATATTATCTCATCCATTAATCCATTTGTTACCATACTTAACAATAGAAAAGAAAATCTGTGTTATCACATTATCACAATAGGCATTCAGGTGCACTGTCACAGAATTTTTTTTAACAGATTGCTAGTTCTAGACAAAAAGAATGTTCTATGCAAAGAACATTATAAATTTCTTAAAAAAGAAATCAATGTTTTATATGGGCATTTTGAAAAAACAAAAAAAGCAGTGTCTGCCTATCATTCCTTAATGAGATGTCCTTCTTAGCACAGCAAAGTCACTTCTAAAAAGTCACCTAAGATTTCTCTATGACAATGGAGATTTGAAGCTCATAAGAAATCCTTTAATTCCTTTGTTATGTTTCTGAAAACACAGATACAGTTGAACCTTCTGGGATGTGATATTCTTTAAAAACTGACAATACTGCATGGTATTAGTGTCCCATAATAGAAGCTGTGTCCTGATTTGACAGTTATGTGATTGGGGTGGAGAACTTGTACAATAGAAGGGCTTAATTTCTTTACTTTTCTTTATAAAATATGCTAGCTGCTCTCAGAAACAGATTTACACCAACTGGTATCAGAAAAAAAAAAGATTTCTGTTCCTTCTAAAATCTTTTATCAAGATGTAGCCAGGTTATAGGGGAATGTAGGCTTTGGAGTTAAAAGTTATTAAATCCAGACTTTCTTACTAGTTTTGTGATCTTGGATAAGATTCCTAACCAAACTTAGCCTCTATGTTCTCCTAGATAAAAGGAATCACCTGGGCTGGGTGGTGGTGGTGCACGCCTTTAATCCCAGCACTCTGAAGGCACAGGCGGGCAGATCTTTGTGAGTTCCAGGACAGCCCGGTCTACAAGAGCTAGTTCCAGGACAGGCTCCAAAAGCTACAGAGAAACCCTTTCTCAAAAAACCAAAAAAAAAAAAAAAAAAAAAAAAAAAAAAAAAGGAATCATCTATGTTGTAGACTGCTGTGTAATTTTGTGTATGTCACTAGAAAAGAACTCATATACTGTAGGCTATAAGGTGTGCCTTATATCAATTCATCTCTAATAGGAATTATCATTAGCATATTAATGATTAAAGATAATTAAAGATAATGGAAGAGATTGGTATATAGAGGATCACAGGTAGAGTTGCTTTTTGTACATTATTGTTTTGTTTGTGGCAAAGAAACTGCTAAAAAACAAAAACGCAGGAGCACTCTGCATGTATAAAAATGTTACTTGTTCCTTAAAAAGTAATATCTAGCCTGATAACCCAATGGCCAATTCTGGGGCCCTGCAGGCTCTTAGACAATTAAGGCTACTTGTGTCTGCTGTAATGTGTTCAGTTAAGAGCTTTCTGTGCATCGTTTGAAGCTTTGCACTCGTACCTTGAGAATGTGACATTTGACTTACAGAGCATTCAAACACAAAGTTGTAAGAGCAACAACAACAAGGGGCCTCCTACATACTCCAGTAGCTTAGTATTAGCTAATGAGTTTAATTGCACTGGGGCGAGGTCTGCTGTGCATCGTGTCAGCAAGAAGAATGGAGGGAAAAGAGCACTCTAATAGAGTAAGTTTAATTGCGTTATGTGATTTAATTATTTAGCTATCTCAGCACCCTTCCTTCATGTACAAATGAATATGAATCAGACAATCATGTGCATATTGCTGGGCCATTACAGTTTGCCATTTATCACCAGTAGGTTGGTCGCCTGCAGGTTATCTCTAACTCAGAGCAAGCGCTTAATTTTGTTGGCATTCTGGGTCTGGGTCAGGAGATCAGTAATGACCTGTGTTACTACTGAACAGTTTTTGAAATTAAAAGAAACAGCCAGCACGAGTTGTTACTTTGAGGGAAGATATTAAACCATCAATCAAATGGGTCAATGTGCCCCAGGAGGAATGAAATGTTTGCTAACATCTAGAGGTGACTTTCGGAACAAGTGTGTGGTAAGGACAGAGAATCCTCAGATTTCCTAGTTAAGTGTGAACTCGTTCTGTAAGCAGGAAGGAAGACAAAATAATGGATGTTGATAGGATTGCATTATTTTGCATCTCAAATTTGTTTTTGATTGTGACCCAATGCTGTACTTGTCAGATGAAGTTCTTGTGATCATGCTCAATATTAAATTAAAGAAACAAAAACAGTACAAAAGTCTCAGGTATAATTACTTAAAAATGAGACTGGATAGTGTTCATTCAAACATGAGTCTACATAAATACGTAAGCTTATTTACATGGTCTTTATTTTCAAATAATCTAGAACTAGATACCAAAGGGAAGACCAATGACAGAATTCATGGTTGAACTCAGAGAACGTATCTGATTTAATCAAGAATCAGAAATTAGTGTGCTTAGTACTTACATATGGAGACTGTAACAAAGAAGGCAGACCCTAAGAACCACTGTTTAGACAACACTCAAAGTTAGTAGAGTGCAATGATACAACAGTGTACAACAGTCTTTGCTGCAGTCCACAGGAATCATGCAGTGAGAATTCAGCGGATAAGGCAGAAGGCTGACCCAACAGAACAAATGCCTTCTGATGGAGGCAAACCCAGTTTACATGGTGCTGGGTCCACCATCTTTTGCATATTGACTGTTTCTCACAATGGGTCACTTGTGATGCTATAAGCACTCTCCCATGGTGCAAGATTCAGCAGAGTATGAACAAGTTGGTACCACTTTTTCCCATGTACCTGTCCACTGGGTCATCCCCCATTCTGTGGGACTTCCAGCCAGAAATTTATTCACACTCTCAATAACCTTGGCTCCTGCAGTCTAATCTCAGCTTTGTTCCCTGAGATATATTAGAAGTCACCTTCCTGCAACTATCTTCCATTTGGCAGGACATGCAGTCAGGAAAGGAGTCTTTCATATAGATCACATTTTGGGACCTTCACAGATAAAGGGACGTCCAAGCTCAGAGAATTGCCTTTGTTTGCGTGTGCATATAAACTGGAAACTTTACAGAACAGAGGAGAAGAATAAAGATACTGACACAGAACAGTACGTAGTGGAAAGTTCATTCCACCCTTAGATCTAAGTCCTGAGCTTATTTTAAGTCTTCTTCTGGACATTGAGGGGACACTGAGGCTGGCACTCAGAGGTCCCTGATAAGTATTGGGGTCCAGTTGGCCTGCAATTGCTTTCCAAAGCAAAATCTTGACCCTGATGGGGCTACAGAAAACTACAGGAGCTAGTGAAATCCTAGGAAGAATGCCCTCCAGGGCAAAGCAAAGGGGGCTCTCAAGTAAGGGAGTAAAAATCCTGTTTCCAGGTAAGTGCTGACGGAGGAATTCAAATGAGGGAGTCAAAGATGCCTTTGTTCAAGCTTTGCTTGCAATGCTAAAGCAATATGTAAACAGCAGTAGGGAAATTAAAATTGGTTCATTCTTTTTTGTTTTAATTTATTTATTTATTAAAGATTTCTGTCTCTTTTGTGTCTGTCTACCATTCCCCTCCTTCCCAGGTCCCTGTGATGCCTGTGCAGGCTACCCAACAGCTTCAGAGACAGAGAAAACAAATAAGTAGACCACCATGGAGAAAGCACCTCTAGAGATACACTATCTAACTGCTTCATACCTGTGAGGATAAGTTGAGGCTTAGACTTTCTGTGTTCTGCAAAGATATTATTGAAGAATATGAACTGAGCTTTATCTGTCGAAAGACCAACATCCAGAGGTATGATCTCTAGAACAGGACTAGGTCAGGAGGGTGACTGTCCCAGCAGTGGAGATAGTGTTGTCATTGGAAGATGCAAAGGAGCTTCCTAACTGTCTGTGCTCTCTACCATTGAGAACACAAGAAGATGCCAACCTGCAAGGCAGCAAGCAGGGCCTGCTAGTGAGCCTTCTGACACACTGTGGTTGAACATCCCAGCTTCAAGAAGGGAGGAGATATACTGCTGTTTAAGCTCAAGCTGGTTAAGGAGATTGTATCCATGTTTGGGGAAAAAAACTTTACATATCTAAACATAAAAGTCATTTTTTTTGGTTTTTCGAGACAGGGTTTCTCTGTGGCTTTGGATCCTGTCCTGGCACTAGCTCTTGTAGACCAGGTTGCTCTTGAACTCACAGAGATCCGCCTGCCTCTGCCTCCCGAGTGCTGGGATTAAAGGCATGCGCCACCACCGCCCGGCTTAAAAGTCATTTGTTTTATATGGCTAGATGCAATTTTCATCACATGTAGACAATCCAAAGGGCAGTAATATCACTTGCTTATCTGCCATAAAAGTCACCACGAAGCAAGGGGTGCTTCTGGAGGACCCTAGGAGGAGCAGTATGAAAAGGGGGGGGGGGCAGTGTACTGAAGGGATCAGGAATCAGTGTACAGTTTTGGCTATGCAATATATCAAAGTACAACTTACAAGCTATCTTCTAATTCTGGTCTTATTTTTATTTCATGTGTATGGGTGATTTTTTCTGCATCTCTATATATACAAACACACACATATACACATATATATCTGCATACCACATGTGCCTGGTGCTCATGAAGACCACAGGGAGCTATCAGAATCTTTTGAACTGGAGCTACACAAAACTGTGAGCCACAGTTTAAGTGTTAGGAACCAAACCCAGATTCTCAGAAGAGCAGCAAGAATTATTAACCAGTGAACCATATCGCCAGCCTCTTTTTTTTTTCTTTTACTAATTAATTTTCTAGGTGATACTCCAATACGGTGTGAAAGCTAGTAAAAGGTGCAACCAAAGCAGAAGTGGAAGCAGACCAACAGCTGATACAGATAACCTCATATGCATTCATTCTAGTGGGGCAGAGAAAAACAGACCCTGAAACAGAAGTGGCTGGACATCAACAGGTGAGCGACATCATTACACACTGAAGCCAGTTCGCCATCATATGCTACATTTGACTTGGTGGGGAAGGGCGAAGAGAGCCGAATACTCACAGGAAGCTATTGTAAATAAAATAAAACCAGTTGTTCCTCTTTATTAATTCTATTTTATTAGATAACAAGAAATTTTCTTCGTGCAAGAAAAAGCATTTCTTTTGAAATTGAAATTATGGTAGATGATTTTTCAGGGGTTAAAAAGTAAAGGCTGCAAAAACAAAATACGTAGTCCTTCCTCACAGTAATCCTCGTGAAAACAATTGCCACGCTGGCAGAAGTAGGGATCCATTTAGCTTCACACTGCCTGCTTGGGGCCAGAGTCCGTATTGGGGAATCAGGAGAGATTGATGAGGTAGTCCCCTAACGTATTATAACTCCTGCATCCAAGGACTCAGGAGCCACTTTCTGAAGAATGTTCTGCTTTGCCTGTGACTGCAGGATACACCACCAACCTCAAAGATAAATGTGGACCCTGGACTTGGTTGAAGGTCTGGGCTTGTTGCAAATGAGACTGTGATTTTTTTTTTCTATTAGGGGGCAGAATATACTAGACTTCAGTTAGATTAATTACATGTCAGCATATCCTCAATTGTCAACTCTAGACTCGAAGGTAAAATTACTAGAACACAGTCAAGCACGCGTTTTCCCCGTTTTAGGAAACCATTCAACTGCTGGGTGCTGTCATACTTCAGTGATTCACAAAAGCGTGTAATGCTTAATGAGGCAAATATGAGGATAATTATCCAAGTTATATTTGGGAAACCTGCAAAATAACAGACAGTGTTTGCAGACTTTATGAACACTCCAGGGCAGAGAGAGAAAAAGGAGATATTCTTTTTTTAAAATAGCTGAACTGATTTCACTATAACTAAATATCTTTGAAGTAACATATTCCTATTCTACCCAATTTAAAAAAAAAGTTAAAAAGTCGACAGAATACTCTCTTGGTTTCAGAGGTTCTGAAGGGATTTAATTGCTCTAGCTGTACCTGATCCAGGTGTCCCTCTCTTAAATAGACACACCTTTCATTGTCTAAAGCCTAGCTTCTTACAAAGCAGGGTCTTTTTAGAGACAGGCTTGGTAAGCTCCAGATGAGTCGTCTGTACTGCAATTTTGAATGAAAATAGGACTTAAAACACAGAAATGCCTGAAGAAATACTCGTGCAGATCAAATTAGTTTGCTGACTATGCCAGATTGGCAGGTGCCAAAGTTCATAGTAAGTTGGTGAGCATTATCAATCAGGGTCGTTTAAGAAAGACTTCAGAGTAGGGGTGCAATTCAAAGTTACACTGTACAGTGCTTGCTATGATAAGGCTTTCAGGACCATGTGGCACCTGCCATGGAAAAGCAGACAGGAGCTCTGTATTATCATCCTATCTTTGGAACCAATGAATATTAACGTTACCAGATATTGTGGAGACAGTGAGTGTGCCTATCAGGATCCATGTGGATTTCATGGTTAATTGTAGAGTTGAAGTTAGCCGATTAGAAACATATCTCCTAACAGAATTCCGTCTACCACGTAATGCCAAGATTCAAGTGGAAAAACAAAACAAAACAAAAATCCAAACAAACAAAAGATATTTAAATGTCACACATTTAAACTCAAAGTCTCCTGAAACGATTTCTTTCATGGTGAAATTTACTCTTTGCACAAACAGCTCATGGGAAAATAGTATCCCAGGACATTCCTGGAAGGGTTGAGATGCCAAGGTCATTGTGGGCATCTTCACAGGCTCCTGGAGCTTGGTGAAGGCTGCTGATCACAGGGCAACAGAAGCATGTCTCTTCAAGAGAATTAAGGGTCTGTCCCCACAGGACAGTTTATCAGGAACTGGGGGTATTATATTTGGACCAGACTGTTGCCAACTGGTTAGCAGGCACGTCGTTCCTCAAATGCCATTACACACCTCAAGGTATGATGGGAGGATTCTTATGCCTCATCAATAATTCATCCTGAGAACTTTCTCAGAGCAGAATGTTTCAAATATTTACTTTAGAATCAATGTTAATATTAATAGAATAATAGAATTAATATGAATCCACATTCTAGCAGGGCTTCACAGAATTCACACCAACTAAAACATCCAGGGAGCTGGTAATCACATGCCATGGGAATGATTATGGGATGGAAGACGAGAAGATGGACATCTACAACATTGCTCTTCTGCCATTGGCTCAGCTGTTGAGTCACACACTTAGATTATTCCTGTGATGGGGAAGGCTATTGAGTCATATTGAGTCATTTTCATTTTATTCATGGCACTAGCTAAGATGTTGAGTTATACTTTTATGTCATTCTTGCCATTGTCTCAGTAACATCAGCTAGTCCTATATCATAGAACTTTTCATGCATTTTCAAACTAATAAAGAAACATCTTGCTAATATAAAAGTTTTCATTGGTTAGAAGGCCTAAGGTCCACAGAATTAATGGGCATTTCTAGTGTAGGAAAGCCTGGTTAACACTGGGAGTCCAATATTTATTTTTAAAAATGTGCTTGCTCTATTGCACTATGTTGTTTTTCCCTTTCTCCGACATTTTAGCTGTATTCTATTTTCTCTCAAAGAAGGGGGGGACTTTATTTTCAGAGAACAAAACTGCATGATCTTCCTTTTCTAAAATGAAACACGTAAGAATTCTCCAGCCACTCATGCACTAGGCGAGCCACGAGATGTCACCCTGCGGTGTCATCCTATGTCTCTCCCTAGCAATCTCTCCAGGAAACAAAAGGCATCAACACAGAGGGGTCCTCTAATGCAAAAAGCACAAGAGGGCTACATTCAGAAGTCATTGCGAAGTGTTGGCTTTCTGCTGCTTCCATGATAACCATTGCTGAGACCAGTATACATATTGTAACTGTTGGAGATGAAACATCAGAGTAAGAGAAAAGAGGCATTCCCAGAGCCTTCCATCTCTTAAGTTAGATGAGATACCTTCTTAGAACCTCCATGGCAGGCTCACAAATGCATACTGTTGCTACTTTATCCTATTTACATAACACCAAATTCCTCCTTCACATTTACCATGTAACCTACAGATTTGTAACCCTGGACAATGTGTACTGAATTTTCTAAAAACTGTTGCAGAACACCTGAGTTCCTTTATCTTTCCCTCCCTCCTCCCAGCCTGCGTTCCTTTGGAAAAACACAAAGATTACTCACATGCCATTAAATTTATTCAATTTAAAGTATATAATTAAATAGTCTTATATTAGCCAGAGTGATTGGCTCCCATCACAGTACAAGCTTTGAACTTTCTCTTCCTCCCTAGCCCATTATCAGCTGCTAGGCTATGGCAGCTCCTGCAAACCGTTAATCTACATTTTCTATAAGGATTCGCTCATTCTGGACTTTTTGTATAAATGGAATCCTATAAAATGTGATCATTTGTGATAACCACTGTCACTTAGTGTAACACTTTCAAGCTTTGTCTAATTTATGGCATGCCTTGATGCTTTATCCCCATTTATTGTAAAGTAGTTTTCCATTGTGTAGGTGTGATACAGTTTATCAATTCATTCATGATGATGGAATTTGGGACCATTTTCTATTAGAAGTGTGGGAAACATTGTTTGATAGAGTCACAGTGACAGTGTCCTTGCAGGCAGATTGAAAAAGTGTGTCCTGATGCGGGAGGAGGACCACTGGTCATTTTCCTACTTTCTAGATGGTGGACAGGAGAAAAAAATGAGGTTTGGGCCACAAGTGGAATGTTCCCACTAGAAGTCGACAGAACCCTAAATGCCAAGACCCAGCTTCTCTTTCTTACGCATATGTGTAGACAATGGTTCTGCTTGTGAACATGGAACGGACTGCTTTCTCCTAGGAGGGATTCACAGCACACTACAGTCTTGCAAAATGCCACGGAGTCCTCTGAATTCTTTCTTTGGTGTCACAAAATAGTTAAGAAGTGATGGTGCTATGAACACTCATGAACATATTTTTGCCTGAGTATGTGTCTTCATTTTTATCATATAACACAGGAGGGAAATTGATAAGTCAAGTATAGTTGTATGCTTAATTTTGAGGAACAAATTCCTTTTGTTTCTCTAAAGTGGGTAACCCTTTTCACATTTCTACCAGCAATGCACCACATCCTTGACACCACTGGTTGTTATCTGTCTTTTTATTGTTACAGCCAGCTGGGTATGTGAGAACTTAGTTTGGCTTTGACTAATATTTCCTTAGTAGTCAAGAATGGCATGTGGACCATTTATATTCTTTTGATTTGTTTATAAATTCAGTGGTGATTCTGAAATTCATCTTTGCCAAAGCATGGGCTTAGAGTCCAAACATTTATTTTCTGTAGCAGGTCTGTATACATATCATGACTTACATGTTTTTTTTCTATTAATGGACTTTTAGTTTGCTTACCTTTTTATTTTTCAACTAGAAACCATGATTTGAACATTCTTTACATGTCATCTAGTACGAGTAAATTTTAAATGAGCCCTTTCATTTACTATCAACTAAACAAACGTCTAAGCAGCAAATACGGACCTTGTACAACATTTCAGAAAGCAAAAATATCTATCATAGTGTGCTGTATACTATTCTACCCAGCTAGTATTGGCTAATCACGTGTGAGCTTGTCATAAAATTCAGGAAAACAGTTAAACACAAGGGTCCAATACAGCTTCATGAATAAAGAATAGCTATATTCATGTTTTTATAGAAGCATAAATATAGAAATTCACATATAAAATCTATGCAGTGATCCTGACAGCTTTGTACAAGGATACCTGTTTTTAAATTTTATATTTTATGTGTGAGTGCTCTGCATGCCCGAAGAGGGCATCAGATCATACTTTGGTAATTTTTTTCTGCTGTGTAGTACTCCATTTTGTAAATGTATCACATTTTCCTTATTCATTCTCCAGTTAAGAGGTGTTTAGGCTGTTTTCAAATTCTGGCTATGACAAACAATGCTGCTATAAACATAGCTGAG